GGCGCCGGGCCCGCCGTGCCGGCCTCGCCGCGCGTCGACCGGGGTCGGGGCCCGGCGGGGCGGGGGGCCTCCCTGGTCCGCACCCCGGAGCAGGCTGCGGGGGTGGTCGCGCTGATCGAGGCGGTGTTGCCTGCAGGGGAGGACGGCGACGGGACGACGACGGATGGGCAGCCCCCCCGGAGACTACCGCACGACCTCACCCTCTCCCTGCTCCCCGTGCTCCTGCGCGTGAGCGAGGCCGGCACCGGCGCGGGCCTGCGCCTGGCCGGCCTGCGCGCCCTTGCCACCGCGGCCGCCGCCTCGGAGCGCAGCGCGCTGCGCGCCGCGCTGCTCCCGCTCCCGGTCTCCTCCTCGCTGGCGCGCGCGCTGCGCTCCGGGGACGAGGGGGTCGTGGCCCAGGCCCTGCGCGCTGCCGAGCTGCTGCTGGACGCGATGCCGGACGCCTGCCCCGCCGCCTTTGCGCGCGAGGGCGTGCTGCACGAGCTGGAGCGCCTGGAGGCAGAGGCCGACGGCCGGGCTGGGAACTGCGGCGCCGCGGTGGAGGCGCGAGGCGGGCGCGGCGGAGGTGCCGCGGCCTCGCAGGGCGCGCGCAACGCGGCCGCCGCCGCGCGCCTGCGCCGCGAGCGCTTTGCCGGCGAGCCGCGCGGCGCGGAGACCGAGGCCGTGCGCTGCCTGCGTGACTGCGCGGCCGCACTGCCCGATGCGAGCGCAGTGGAGGGCCTGCTGGCGCGCCTGGCCTCGGGCGAGGACCAGGCGGTGTCGACCTACGAGCTTGGGAGCAGCGGGGCGCTGGACGCGCTGTGGCGCCACCTGCAAGGTTGGACGGGAATGGGTGGCGGCTTGCGGGGGGTGGATGGACGGGCGGGTGCGGCCTGGAGAGGCGGGTGCAAGGTTCTTTGTGGGCCCGAACATCCCGCCACCTCTTCCCTCCGCACCACCGCAATCAGGCAAGGACCTGGGGCAGGACGTGGGCGCCAGGCTGGCGCGCTGGTCCCAGTTCCTGATCGCGGGGCAGCGCGCCTGCGCGGCCGCCGTTCCTGCCGCCGATCCCTCCGGCGGCACGCACCTGGGGTCGCTGGTGCACCACGCGCTGGCGGCCCTGGAGGCCAGCGAGAAGCTGGCGGTGGGCCCCTCGGCCCCCGCCCCGCCGCCGGCCTCTTCCTCCTGGGCGCGGCTGGCGCGGTCGGCGCTGGGCCGCGGCGGCGGCGGCTCGACGGCCGACCAGGGGGCGCTGGCGGCCGGGCTGGAGACGCTGAGCACGCCGCTGAACCTCCGGCTGTGCCGTGCGCCGGGCGCGGAGGGCGCGGGGGTGCGCGACCACGGCGCCAGCGTCGTGTCCGTGGTGCCCATGGTCACCCTGGACCAGGTGGAGGACTTTCTCTGGCTGCGGGTCAGGGACGAGCGCTCCGCACCGGCCTCGAGGGAGGTCGGGGCGAGGAGCCCCCCAGGGGCCGGAACCAGGTCTGGGGGCGCAGGGGCTGGCGCGCCGGGCGGGCGCCTGACGCGGGCGCAGGCCCGGGCCGCCGCTGAGGCGGCACTCGCGGCGCCGGGCGCGGGGGCGCGTGGCGAGGGGGAGGAGGGCGGCGACCTGGACTGGCTGACCGCGGGCATGGAGGCCGCGGCGGGCGAGGGAAGCGGTGAGTGGTGGGGGAGATGGTCGTCAGGGGCTGGATCGTTGTGTTGGGCGTGTGTGTGCACGCAGTGTGCCGACCACTCCCTGCTGGGTCTTGAGCTCGTCATGGAGGGGGGTTCTGGATGGAAACCGAGGGAGAGGGGCCGGCGCTCATCCCACGGCGGCCTTCCAGACCCCGCTGTGAGGACCCCCTCTCACCCCCATCCCATTGGCGCCCTGACTGCGCAGGGGAGGAGGGGTCGGGCCTGGAGGATGACGTGATGGAGGAGGAGGACGAGGACGAGGAGGACGATGGTGCGCGTGGGAGTGCCAGCCGGCGTGCAGTGTGGCGGCGGGGGAGGGGGGGGTGGGAAAGACCCTCACCGCGTGGAACCTCACAGAGGTCCCGACCCCAGACGGGCGCGGGCTTGCACCCAGCGCCTGCCGTGCACATCCCCAACCTCGCCCCCAACCCCCCATGCAATCGCCAGATGAGGAGGGCGAGGGCCTGCTGAGCGGCGACGTGCTGGCCGCCGCGGTGCACAGCGTGGACCTGGACAGCGACGGCTTCCCCGGGCTGGAAAGCGTGGCGCCGCAGCTGTCGCCGCCCCAGCAGCAGCCTGCCGCGGAGCGGCCGCGCCGCAGCGCCGCCGCCGCTCACAGCAGCAGGGGCGAGCGCGCCTCCTACGCCCGCGCTGCGGCGGGGGCGGGCGAGGCGGCGCCCGGCGCGCCGCACCTCGCTTTCTTTCTGGGCGCCACGCGCCTGCCGCGCCGGGGCACGCTGCTGCAGAGCCTCGGCGCGGCACTGGCGGAGGGGCCGCCCGATCGCGGCGACTGGGCCTCCCGGCTCTGGAACGAGGTCCACCGCGTCACCTACCGCCTCTGGCGCGCCGGCGACGAGGACACGGGCGTCGCGCTCGAGGCGGGGTCTGGGCGTCCCGCCCGGCGCACGGCCTCACGCCGCCGCTCTGGCGCCGCTGACGACGCAGCGGTCACCGCTGCGCTGGCCTCCTCAGACGCCCCCCCGCGCGCGCTGGCGCACCTCTTTGCCGACGGCTTCGGCGAGGTGGGCCCCGCGCTGGCCTCGGCGCTGTGCCCGCGCGCCGCGCCGGGCGGCGAGCCCGGCACCGCGGCCACCGCGCTGGGCCTGCTCAGCGTGCTGGCCGAGCTGGACCGCCAGGGGCGGCAGGTGCTGCGCTGCCACGCGCGCCGCGGCGCGGCGGGCGCGGTCCGCGCCCCGGCCTACGCGCCCATGGCCGAAACCCCCTTCTCGGCGCGCCTGGCGGCCAAGGCGGCGGCGGCGCTGGGCGACGTGGT